GTTGTACTGCTGGGGTGGGTGTGTGGGATGGATGTGGGGAAGAAAACTCATTGGTCTTCCATGATAGAAGTTTAACGTTTTAGATGAAGAAACAAGACTACCACCAATCCAGAATAATTAGATATGGAATTTAACTCAGTGCTGGCTGAGGAATGGAAGTTCTGAGAAGGGAAATGGATGGAGAGATGAGAGTAATCAGAGAAAGCTTCTGGGCAGCGGGGCTTGAGATGGGCTGAGAGGAGCAGGGAAAGTAGTAGTGGCTGCAGTGACATTCTACCTCCACCGACATTGTGGGGACATTGCTATCATCCCACTGCTAAAAAGTCTGTAGGGCTGACTCTATCCCAGGTACAGAGCCAAATCCTTGACATCATTAAAACCTCCCAACTCTTTGAGGTTGACACCATCATACGCCCATTTTACAGATGAGAAAACAGGCAGGTGAAGTAAAGTATCCAGGTTCCACACCTAACTCTGGTATATCTAGTAAATTCAGGGCCTGTGACCCAATGTGGAGGGCCTGATGGGGCTGCATGAAATACTGTTTGTTGTCCATCCAGACAGAAAGAGGGGCCAGTGGAAAAAATGTTGGGTCCTGTTAGGAGCAGAAAAGAAGGAATTTCTTTCTTACTCATTCTTTTGTTTCTCTGTTTCCAGGAGTGACATCTGGGGCTAAGGTGTTTCTTCCTGGGAGGAGCCTGTGGCACAGAAAGTGGAAAGGGGGTTGGATGCTTTGGGCTTGGCTCAGGCTCTGAATCCAGAAGACAGTGTGGGACCCAAGCCTGCATTGTGTAGCCCTTCAGTACAGCACATGAGGTAATGGGAGAGGGGCTGTCACAGGAATCCATACCTGCAGCCATAGCATGGCCCTTGGAGGGATGTGGGGCATGGAGGTCAAGCTCAACTGGCCCCATGAAGTGGAAGATTGATAATCCCCAAAATGAGAATCGGATAACCTCCTGGTCTTAGGCAGTGCAGGTGAAGGAGTCCTGAACTGAGAAATCAGGCAATGCTCAACTCTCCATCAAATTTGCTGTAGGACCTTGAGGCAAGTCACATTCCCTCTTTGGGCCTCAGTTTCTTTATTTAGGAAAATGGGACATTTAGACCAGATAAGTTCTGAGTAGATTGGGTGACTGTAGAGCTCTAATAAGGACAATGACTAAGCATTTATCATGATGTGAGATGATAGTTAATCATTCTTTTCTGTAAGAAGCTGATTCCCTTTGGCCTGACTGTTTGGCACTGAAGTCTCAGGTCTCAGACTCAACATCAATAAGGAGCTGGAGAGAGGGTGAGGGCCTCTCCCCTACCCCGGGTAAGTGGAGACGGCCAGGGCCAGGGAAATGAAGCAGCCACGGCTTGCATCCCAGAATAGCTGCAGTCCTCCTGGCATCTGCCATCCTGGCTGCAAACTCTCATCCCATTGGCTCCTCCCTATCTCTGCCTTCTGGCTTGCACTGCTTTCCAGGTTCTTGTGGCTTCCACTAAGCAACCCTCCTTGTGTGCTATAACATGCTGGCTTCTTCCTGCCAGCCAATGGGATAACAATAGCAACTCTTGTCTGGTTCTCTCGATTTGGCCTTACTTCACCTCCCTGATGGATGAGGACAGAGGGGGAGCTTAGGACAGTGAAAAGAGGACTAGAGGTGGTGCCAGGGGTATTGAGTTCTTGCCATGTGCCTGGACACAACCGAAACATCTCTTTTGGCTTCAATATCTTCACTTGTGCAATGAGAAGAATCAGGCTAGTGTTTCACTGCTGTTGAGCAGGGTGCCTCTCTCACTGTTCTGAGCTGGGGTCCTGTTATGGACTGTAGGTCTGTGTTCTCCCTAGTTTCATATGTTGCAAGTATAACCCCCATTATGATGGTATTTGGAGGTGTGGCTTTGGGAGGTAATTAAGTCATGAAGGATAGAACTATCACTATCAGGATTAGTGCCCTGATAAGAAGAGGCCAGAGAGCTGGCTAGTTTTCTTCCTGCCATGTGAGGATACAATGAGAAGTTATCAGTCTGCAAGCTAGAACCCAACCATGCTGGCACCTTGATCTCAGACTTCCAGGCTCCAGAACTGTGAGAAATAAATTTCTTTTGTTTATAAGCCACCTAGCCTTTGGTATCTTGTTATAATAACCCAAAAATAACAGGTCCATTCTGCTTGGCCAGTGCCCATGTCATGCTGGTTGTTCAATATTTTTGCCAAACTTGTAGAGAAAGAAAAGGATGGAGCCAAGTAGAACATACAAATATGAATGGTGGAGAGGAGAGAGCAGAGAGTCTTGGTGACATAAATCCTGACTTTCTCTGGTCCCTTAACGTCCTGCTTCCTACAGTTCTTCCTCAAAGACGAGTAAAGCAGTGGCAAGGCATGGGGGACACTTTAACAGTTTTACTTTGTTGACCAGAGGAGGCTTTTCTGAGAAGGTTCAATGTGATTTCTTATCTGAATAGAGTAAAGGAGTGGGCCCTGAAAATACAAAGAAGAGAATTCCAGGCAGAGGGAATAGAAAGTGCAAGGCACCTGAGGCGGGAGGGCACTAGTGTCTTCAAGGCACAAGTAGGCCAAGTGTGTCTGGAGTTGAGTGAGAAAGTGATAACATTCTGGGATCTCTCTCACGTAGGGTCTGTCGTAAACCACTGCTTCTACAGGAATCCAGGGAAGGGAAGCCTTCCTTGTGGTTAGAGTAGACAGAAACCCTTCAAGGGAAAGGACTTCTTTCATTACAATTGCTGAGGTGTGACATTCCATGAACACATGCCAATTTCTTACCCCGGTGTGTTTGTTCCTTTTTTCATTCAACAAGAATTTATTGAGTATGTGATATCTGCCAAGGAATGCAGACAACACTGAATGTACAATGATGAATCAGTCACGGTTTCTGCTTTCAAGGATCTCAGTCTGAGTGAGTGTGGAGGAGGCAGCCATGTAAACAGATAATTAGAGAGAAACATGGCAGGTGCTGAAGCCAAGGTAGGAACACAGAGCCGCTGGAGGATACAGGAGGAGAGGAAAGGTTTTACCTAGAAGAGTCAGTGTGGTATGTATAGAGGAGGTAACCTTTCTTCTGGTCATTGACGATCAAGGGAAGTTTGACCAGTAGAGAGCAGCTGGGAGGGATAGCATGTGCTAATAGTATGCAGTCATATCTCATGTAGCAGTATGTTTGCCAATACATCTCCTAGGGTAAGGGAAACAAATAAAAAAACAACAAACACATGGGACTATATCAAAGTAAAAAGCTTCTGTATGGCAAAAGAAACCATCATCAAAATGAAAAGGGAACCCACTGTATGGGAGAATATATTTGCCAACGATACAGCTGATAAGGGGTTAATCCAAGATATATAAAGAACTTATACAACTTAACACTAGGAAGACAAGCAATCCATTTAAAAAATGGACAAAGGACTGGAATAGATAATTCTCCAAAAAGTACATATAAAAGGTCAATAGACATATGAAAAAATGCTCAATGTCACTAATCATCAGAAAGATGTAAATTAAAACTAAATGAGGTATCACCTTACACCTGCCAGAATGGCTACCATCAATAAATCAACAAATAATAAATGTTGGTGAGGATGTGGAGAAAAGAGAACCCTCATACACTGCTGGTGGGAATGTATACTGGTGCAGCCACTGTAGAAAACAGTATGGAGTTTTCTCAAAACATTAAAAATGGAACTGCTTTTTGGCCCAGTGATCCCACATGTGGGAATATATCCTAAGAATCCTGAAACATCAATAAGAAAGAATATATGCTCCTCTATATAGGCACCCTTATGTTCATTGCAATGTGATTTACAATAGTTAAGATCTGAAAACAGCCCATGACCATCAGTAGGTGAGTTGATAAAAAGCTGTGCTACATTTACACAATGGAATACTATGCAGCTGTAGAAAAGAAGGAACTTTTATCCTTTGGGACAGCAGGAATGGACCCAGAGATTATTATGCTGAGTGAAATAAGGCAACCAGAGAAAGAAAAATATCACACGATCTTACTTATATGTAGAATCTAACTAAGATCTGAAAACAGCCCATGACCATCAGTAGGTGAGTTGATAAAAAGCTGTGCTACATTTACACAATGGAATACTATGCAGCTGTAGAAAAGAAGGAACTTTTACCCTTTGGGACAGCAGGGATGGACCCAGAGATTATTATGCTGAGCGAAATAAGGCAGCCAGAGAAAGAAAAATATGACATGCTCTCACTTATATGTAGAATCTAATGAATAAAATAAACTGAGGAACAAAATAGGTCCAGAGGCATGGATACATGGAACAGACTGATAGATCTCAGAGGATATGGGTGTGTGTGGGGGCACTGGAAGAGATTAACCAGAGAACATATATGCATAAATGCATAGCCCATGGACACACATAATAATGTGGTGAAGGCCTGAGGGGGGTGGGGATTGGGTGGAGAGGGCAAAGGGAAGAAATGGGAAATATCTGTAATAGTGTCAACAACAACAAAAAGAGTATGCAGTCACGGGAAAGGATGAAATTAGAAAATGGCACTCAGAGCACAGGGTTTTAGGACTGGAAAGTTGTGAATATAGTAGAGGGGGTTGGTTGAGGTGAACTCAGTCTGTGTTGGGTGTTTAGACTTTATTATGTTGATTTGGAGAATCCCTGGAGACTTTTAAGTAAGGGAGTAAACAGATTAGATTGTTTGATGGGAAATTATATGGTATGATAGGATACAATATGATGTGATATAACATGAAAATAATGGAAAATGGTCTGAAGAGTAAACAGTTGTTTAGGTTGAGACAGGGTCACAATCTCTAATGGGGTCAGGTGATGACAAATGAGAACAAGGAGGTCAGCAGATTGTGTGGACCCTGTCCTGTCTCAAGAGGGTAGCTGCTACTCAACGCAGGGAATTGTTGCCCCAATGGGGACTCAGGTCCAGGGCTCCCAGAGCTACTGAGATTTCTGAGAGCAGCTGGGAATCCAGATCCTTATGTAAAATCTCACCATTTTTAAATGTTGGCAACTAATATTGACTCACAAAATGCAGTGTGGGCCAAATATAACACATCTGTCAGCCTGATCTGTCTGCAGGCTCCTGGTTTACAACTTCTGGGTTGAGAAAAGAGTTTTCTTTTTTTCTGTAAAGAGAGATCAAAATAGTTTCGGATGCAATGATTCATGCCTGGAATGACCTTCTTTCATCTTATTCTAGAAAATTCTTGATCATTACTTAAGACTCAGTCCAATTGTCCTCTGTGATGTTTTCCCTATCACCCCTTCCTCCCTGCCACACTCCCCCCGGTCATCTCCCAAATCCCCCAAGCAGTTATCATGTCTTGGTGCTGCTCCACTGCATCTTTTATATGCCCTGGTACCTGAAGCAAGCAAGCAAGAAAACAAACAAGCAAACAAATGCTGTGGTGCAGGAGAGAAGCCAGGGCTAGAATACAGACATATTGCTAAATGGATGGAATCACAACTTGAAGGAGAAAGGAATAAAGCTCACAATACAGGCCCTCAGAAACCTGGAAGGACCTAGCCTGGGATGGGAAGAAGCAGACCAGATCTGAACAGAAAGACGAGATGCTAGAGAACAAGTTGGACTGTGTGGACTTAGAAAGCTCAGCATTGTGAGTTTCTGTAGGACTTGATTCTTAAGCAGGGGTAGGTTCCTATCTCGAGTCTGTCTTTAGTTACCACAACCCTGAGACACTGAAGACTGACCTGGGAATTTCCTGTGAAAGGATTTCAGATATGAGGTAGAGTGGACATCTGCTGTTTTGCTATCCAACTTCCTTTCATCTTTTTCTTGGTGTCTCTGGGAATCCATCCTTCCCCTATTTTTGGTTTGTGGGCTTCTTGCTTGAGAGTTGAGCATGTGACTCAGACACGGCTCATCAAGGATCCTCACTCCCTGGACACAGTGGTCAGTGCAGGGATGGTCGCATAACCTGAGTCGGGTCAGAGAGAATCAGGTTCAGGACTTTCCTTGAGTCACTGAGAGAGGCATTTGTTCTTTCCTGCTGGATTTGGACTTGGGAGGTTATAGGTTGAGAGCAATCGTCAGCCACCGTGAAGAGCCTAAGAAGAAATCCAACATGGAGAAGAGACAGCTGATGGAAAGAGATCTTGGTACAGGTGGGATCAAACCATAGCTATAGCTAGTAAACCCTAGCTCTTTTGTTATTGTGGTCAGTACATTTTCCTTCCTTAAATCAGTTTGAGTTAGGCTTTCTTTTGTCACTTGCAACCAATAGGTGGTTCTCCAACTTCAATGTGAATCATGAAGAATGAGACCTTCGGTGAACTTGCAAAGCATTTCTACATTCA